CTGAAACAGAAGAAAGACGTCCAGTTACCAACCTCAGTCTCTGTTTTCTGCGAACAGCTTTTGCGAGCACTGTGGAGGCCACACCAGTGACCAGTATCTACTGCAAACCATCTACTTGATTGACAGGCAATTTTGCCCCTCAATGCGCAAAACCAGCTGACTGGGCCGTCTCTCCCTTGTCATCTTGGGCCAACACCAAGCCAACTTGCTACTGATTTTCAGAGAGGGACATGAGTTCTCCAGGAAAAGGCGTTGCCTTTCTGCTTGTGTGCCTGCATTTGGAACGAGTAGGAACCAGGTTGCAGCACACAGAATGGAAGCTTTTGCCCCTTTCCCTGGACTTCTCATCCCAGGGAGACTCAGATTCCCTTGCAGCTGGCCATAAATGAAGCCCAGGCTCAGGCACTCGGCTTTCACAAGGTATTGTTAGGTCAGCAAAGCCATCAATTAGGCTGTCTGAAGTTTTATCACCAACACAGCAGTAATAAGTGCTGGCCCAAAGACTTCTGGTCTTCGGGCAACTCCTGCAGCTTAAGCCTGTAAAGTTAGGGGTCACTCAGAGGTCAGTGCCAGCTGGGGGCGGCCTTTGCAGCCAAAGCAGGGACACCCAGGGCACTGGATAAGCTAACTGCCAACCATAAACTCAGCCACCTTTCAACCCACTCGAAAGCCAGCGTCAAATCCACATGGTTGATATTAGGGCCCGGGAAATAGTTTCAAATCAGGTGGTTACTGATTCCTGGGAATGTAAGGAGCAGCGGTTATTTTGTCTAAGAAGCCTGGATCTAATTTTGTTGAAAATCCAAAAATAAGTGCCTACTTCATGTTACTTTAATGTTTAATAATGCCCATCAAATATTCATGTACAAACAGGGTAAGACAATAAGAAATCTCCTTTATTTCTCCAAATTTAATAAAAACAAAACAATTTTCCACCATTTGCGAGTTACCCTTGTCCCAGAGCTTTTAATGACGGTATTTCCCCACACGTATGAACTCCTGGGAAAGATCCAGCAGCCTTGCATTCGTTCTGGGGAGGGGCCAGTGGTAGGGATCATACAGCTAGCCGGTCCTTCAAAATGTGTTTTATTGATAACATTTGTTTTTCAACATTGCCATTTTCAAGTCTTAACCATATGGGTGGGGGCTGAATGATTAATGCATTCACATGGGGCTCCAGGCAGGACCTGAGAGATCTCTCTCTGAAAAAGTTTCAAGCACTGTCCCTTGGTGGAGGACAGTGAGCCCACACAAGTCTCCTCAGGTAAGAATACAAGTCAGGCTGGTGAATAACAGCCAGGAGAAAAACCAAAGGGGGGCTTTTGCATATTTTCTATTTGCAGAACAATGAACTTCGTTAGGACTTAAGAAAGGATGTCACCGTCACAGTTGTCACAAAAGGTTCCACCCATTGGGTTTGGGGAGGGACGTGCCAGGCTACTGTAAGTTCAGATAACCAAAAAATAAATAAAAATAAAAAGTAAAACGGACAGTTGAAGCTATGTCTTTATGCCCACCTGTTCCGCTGAACTTGTCCCCACCATACCATTGTTGAGACCAAGGCCTAGGAGGTCTCCTTCCCCCCCCCCCCCCCTCTCCTGGGTACATTTAAGACCAAGAGATGCCCAGGGCAGGCTCCTTCAGTCTGTCTCCATGTTTCTGGTAGAGAGAGGGGGACTTCCTCTTTGCATACACTGCCAGTCCTGTAGGTTAACCCTTTAGGTGAAACAAATTGCTATCTCCGCCCCCTCCCCCTTAAGTTTCCTTCCTTTTGTTTCTTTATCATTTACATCTGGAGATTGTTCCCCTATTTACGCTTTTCTCCGCTGTTCCCTCCAACACTCTCTCACTCACAGGGCTGCAAGGCATCATGGTTCTTAGTTCTCAGCAGGAGAACTCCACACTGTCCTCAAACAAATAATTACTGGGAAGGTTAGAGGTTCACTCAAAGGTCATTTCTTTGGATACTCATCAGAATGTTTACATTAGTAAAAATGGGGGTCCTCTCAAAAGGTTGTTCAATGGGGGTGATCCAACAATACAGAACATTTAGAAAAAGCTTTCTGTGCGCTAGCAGGTCTTTACAGAAGCACTGAACTTGGCAGTGTCATTCCAGCATCACATTTTCAGCTAGTTTCCATGGCGTGGACGGCATGTGCAACTAGCAGTTATGGCAATGGCCTTTCTTTGCTCATTGCTCCTAAGGAGGCTGAAAGAAAGGTCTTCACGGGGAGGGGAAGAATCCTTTCACAGAGGGCTATGGAGGCCTTCACATTCTCATGTGGGCTCCACGCAGCCTCTGTGAAGTTTCGTTTTCAAGTGTTTTCCGTCCCAGTACTGTTTCATAATTCCAATGCATTCTTTCAGATCATACAGGATTTGGAAAACATACGGGCCCCCGTTTTTTGCTCTTGTTCCTCGCCCCCCCAAAAAAAATCTCTGAATGTAGAACTCCTGCCAATTGTCAACTGCCCTAATCTCAGGATAGCTTATTAACACATACATGCTACTGTTAAAACTAATAATGTATTTACTCTCATAAATACAAAATGGAGCCATTTAATTTTTAGATGAAAAGAAAGTGAAATTGGGAATGATTTTTTTTATTTGTTAATTCCCAAAATGAACTTTCCATATACGTTCCTTCCCCTAGATGATTTGACGTGAATTCTTTCACTTCCTCTGGTTATATTTTAAGAATGACCTTTCCTTGATGAAGATAATAAACAAAATATCAAGTTTTGATTATCCTTAAACTTTGAAGCACCTAAGTTAAAAAAAACAAAAAAACAAAACAAAAACAGCTCATCTCCAATCATTCAACACCAGTCCTCAATTCATATGGAAAAATGTAACTTCCTTGTTCAAAGACAAAAGACTTGTCTTTAAAAGGCTCAAAAGGTTTCTTGGATATGAAATGGGTCTCACAAAATAACATTTTGATGAGTTAAGTGTAAATGAATCAGACACATATGGATTAAGTTATCCCTGCATTTCACACGGGTTTAAAAAATAAGGGGAAAAGAGGGTCTTGGCAAAAAACATTTTGGACTTTGCCAAACCCAAAACATTTGAAAAATTGCTGAAGACATCCAACTAACCAAAATGCAGCAAGCTGCACCCAACTTTAATGAAAACCCCCACAAGTTATTTCCAATCCAAAGACTGTTAGGTTTTTCATCTGTATCTGATATTAAAAAAAAGAAAAAAAGAAAAAAGAAAAAAAAACTCACTAAGTTTTAATGTCATCCCAGAATGATTTTGAAGTTGCAGACAATCTACTTCTGTATTAGCACAGCAATTTAACCTAAGTTATAAAGTTTCCTTAGATGTTAAACAGGTCTTTAAAACTCTGAATTGTACAACTTGTGTGGAAAAAATGTGTTAATAAATCTAGTGTCTTCTCCAGATTTCCCTTAAAAAAATTTCACTAGCCTCACTGTGACTTTTTTTTTAAGGGCTACAGATAATTGCATTAGTGACTCCCTAGGGGATGAGTACCCCAAAGTACACTAGTTCTATCGATTTGTATTGAGCATGTAGTGCCCAGGCTCACACAAAAGCTTCCAAGAGAGTCTCCTGAGACTATTTGCATCTCTAAATTTTACTTAACTACAAAATGCATTAGTATGTGTAATCCTGTAAATTTATATACTAAGACTCTTAGCTTAAAATAACTTAATTATAGAAATAAATTTAGTGACTTTCTAAGAATCTCTCAGTCAACTCAGAGATAAAAACAACAGCAACAACAGCAGCAGCAACAACAACAACAACAAAAACCCTGAGTAGACTTAAAGGAATGCACTCTAGACAGAAAAAAAAAAAAAAAAAACCACAGAAGCCTTACCTATTCTTGCTGGAGCCCACCAGCCATCACTTCAGGAAATAGCTCAGCTCTGCATGCTCCCCCACCCGCTGAAATCTGACCACTGAGTTTTCTTTTAAAGACTTTTCACTCCAAAGCATAGCTCAGGTTGATGGGAGTAAACTCGGGTGTCATTCTTGATTGTTGGTAGATTCCCCCACGCCTTTTAAATGGCTGATAAATCCCTTCTTTCTGGTTCACTAACTTCTGGCCACACCTGGTAACCCACTCCTACAGGCAGCATTCCTTTTGTTAGAAAGCACAGGTCGCTTGCCCTGCGGTTGCTTGGAAAGCAGCCAGCCCTGAACACTCCAAGGATGGCTGGATTTGAAGCTCTCCCTTGGATTGGTGTTGTCAAGGAAGAGGCTTGAACTGTTGACAAGGGATCAGATCAGATTGGAAAAGGTGTAGTCGGGAGATTGGTGACAGGACTGATTAAAAAAACAAACAAACAAAAAAAAGTTCTACTCTCCACTTTGCCTAACTTTAGGACTTGTCTACCAGCGAGATGCTGCTGCGGATTTCAGTGACACTTCAACCTTGGGAAATCAGTTAGTCATTTTTATTTATTTTTTTCTTAAGATTAACACACACACATGTTTTATTCTGTGTGCTAGTCTTGTGTTGAATCAGTGGTTAGGCAGGTTTAATGAACTGCACACACCCAAGATTTTCACTGGTGTTCAGACACAAGATCTTTTCTCGAGGAATACTTTGAGCAAAGTGAGGTAAATGAATGAGATTCATGTATGACTTTAGGACACATTCACAGATCATAACTAATGTCCCTGAGCTACAGTGTAATTACAACTGGATAGAATATTAGGTTTGCCCACACCTGTGAAAACATATGAAATAAATACCCGTACACTTACAATATGAAATCATACTGTTGGGGTGGAACCCTGAACACCCTGTAGCCTTATGAATTTGCCTTGAGTTGGGAGACTGTTCATGCTGACACAAAAGGCCCAGGGCAAAGTTATCAAATGGGCGACAGTTCCTTTCAAGGGTGTCTTCTAGGGGCTGCCAGCACTCTACCTAACTCTCCCCTAAAGTGACAAGGGCCTCTATAACTTATTCACCAAAAATACCTCCTAAGGTATTGTCCCACATTTTAAACCTTTTGCAC